CCCATCATAATCTTATAATGATTTATATTTTCTGTACGTAAATCAAGAGAAAATAAAAAAAAAGTTCCAAAATTAACTTCGCACTTCATTTCTACACTGTGTGTTGGACGTCATTGGATGTGGGTCAGTCTCGCTGTTTGTTTGTGTACCGTAAGCGAGTTTTGTTTGTCGTAACTTTTGTTGTGTGTGCTGTGTTCGGCAAACACCTGACTGAATTGTTTATGTTCCGAGGCCAATTATTTCTGCTGGTTTCTCATCCTCGTCGCTAATATTCCTCTTTTTTCCATCATTATTGGTGGTGTCGGTGTTGATGGTGGTGGTGGTATTTGTGTTGGAGCTAAAATATTGGTGATAGCGCACATATTTACCTCGATTTACATACAGAGAGAGAAAGAGATAGAGCAAAACAAACGATACATTAATGAATGAACTTGCGCATTTTGAAGAGCAATACAGAAAACTCCAATCGAATTAAGAGGATAGAAAGAGATCGAGAAAGAGTGAGACAAGAAGGGAATGGGTGAAGAGAAAAAAAGAGTTAGCCGAGTTGAATTCAATCAACAATTTACTGCACATAAATACGGAGTATTATTATGTAAACGCAACGCTATTCAAAGATAAAAGGGACACGAGAGTGCACAGAATAATTGCGCTGATAGCGCATGTTGTTTCAGCAATGATAAAAATATGAACGGCATTTGTCGCCGAACTGTTGACCACCTTACCCTCCAATCCGTTCGCTTTGAAAAGAACCTTCTGTGTGAACCCTAGACGCATGTATTGTTGTTGTTGTCGCTGTTCGATTCAAGATTCTTTTACTGTTTTGCACGTTCGGCGTCGGTGGTGTGTTGGTATGCTGTTTCATTTTTGTCCACTTTGTTTTTCTCTGTCCAATAAATATTAGGGTAAATTATTCAAACAGAGGCACCTTCGTTTCCCATCGAATTAGAATGGAATGTTGCGCTTCGCCGCGTAAATATCAAAACAATTAGTTCGATAATTTTGGCACTCAATTTATTCGACATTGCCGGGCAAATGTCATTGTAATGACTAAACAAAGAAATAAGAACAAATGGACTAAAACAGAGGAAAAAAAAGAAGAGTTAATTGGCTGTGGGCCACCATAATCGATATTGATGACTCTCTCGATTTTCAACTAACCCATTCATGCAACGATTCCCATCGAGAAGAATTTCTTTTGTCGGAGGTGGACAGGGAGGTTTGTGTCTGATAGGAAATTGAAATAACAATAGTTGTTTGTTTTCCTATATTCGTCCTTGCACTGTAAATTTCATTTGTTCATTTCTTACCCTCACGCCATTACCTTATCCATTATCGTCATCACCGTCTCCGTAGTTGTCACCATACATCAACCTAACGACTGACCCGCACATGCAATGTAAAAATAGTCCAATGAAGATTAAAGCGTCGCCGATCAATGTATTCCTTTTTCACTTATTTTGTTCACTTCGTTGTGACACATAACTTTGTCCCTTTAATTAGTCAAACTTTTTCCGTTCAACTGATAACACGGACAAACCGAATTTTTTTTTCAATCACATTAACAAAGAATCTCCAGTAAAGCAGCCACAACGAAATAACTTCGATAAATATCCCAGATTTTTTCTCTTCCTATAATATAATCGGTCAAATTCTTTATTGTGTTAAATCAATGGATTTTTTTTATTTTATTTTATTGGAATGCTTTTTGACTAACACATTCTGATTTTTTTTTTGTTTCCTTTTCCATTTTATATACTCATTATTATCACATGGTTGGGACATAGATTCAGGTGCTGGTTCGAAAGTTAGTTGACGGCGGCCGAAAAGCAGAAACAAACGACACCAGCGATGATATTAATAAAATTGTGATCAAAAGTGACAGCAAAAGGATGGATGGCACATCATCACAGTCAATTGAATCATGCCCATTAAACGGGTTGAGTCGGAAATCCAACACTGGAGGTAATGTAATAACATAGCATTCGCTTAACCCGAAATTACGTAACTTTTGGTTTTCGATATACAATTTTAGTCCTTTTTATTGTGTTTGTGTTGATGGGTATATACTTTGGTTCAAAACATTTAAATTACCTTTAGTTTTCAAAGTATTTCAAGACGTTTTAACAATTTTACGCTTCTGTCTGTTAATGTGGCAACACCTTTTTTTATTCTTACAACTTTTAGCCTCAAATCGTAACGAATCCACATACAAAGGACTGCAAATATTCCCGCAAAATCTCGCCCAGCAAAAACGATCCACGCGCGGTAAGCTTAGCTCGTGTTATCTTCATTATATAAATTAACGTTGGGTGGTCATTCGTTTTAAAAGCTAATGCAATTCTGTGAAACATATTTGAAATATTGTCATTTGCTTTGATATGATTTTTTTTAGTAAATTCAGCAAACATACGTTTTCGGATGGTTTAGCTTCTCAGCATTTCGTATGCAGCGGATATATCCGAGCATATCGACGACACAAGTCACTGTATAAGTGGTGTGCGTCGATGCGCACAGCTACATCGATTACTTACAAACAGAGAGCGCAGAGATATATCCGTTGCATACGAAATGCTGAGATGCTAAACCATCCGAAAACGTATGTTTGAAATTCAGACCAGACGCTGACAGCACCATCTGAAACTCACTGTCATGCAAAGTTGTTGTCGCTCTCGATTGACATCGCATACACACACGTGCTTTAACGGCCAATTCCGTTACCGTACGGAGTACTCTGCATATTTTATATATGAGGCGATCTTAAGTCGGGCACACGGATTAGACGGTCGTCTCATCGGTTAAACGTGCTTATTCGGAAGTATGACAATCCCCAAAGGGAAAACAGAATTCGATGCGGAAATATTTCAAATCATTTCATAAATTGTTGTTATTAAGAATCGCAGACGATGACAATCGTAGACATTGTTTCATTATAACAACAATTGGAGTAGCAATGACAAGCAATCAAGATAGAAAATCAAGTTACAATCACTAAGTTCATTTGTAATTGATATCACATAACGTATATAGCTGTATCATATGTATAGCCGTAGTTTTTTATTCACCCTTACTCTTTATTATTATAAGTTTTTATGATTGCTGAGGTGGCTCCGAGTATTGCAATGAAGGAAACCTAACCATTTCCGTTCGCTACGAATTTGAATAAACAAAAGCGGGCAAACTGAAAGCATGTTTTATAATGAGATGCTCGAGAATCAAATAGGATGTTGTGACATTAGGATGCAATGCATTTGTAAAATCCATACACCTTAAATTGAAAAAAATAATAAAACATCAATAGCGAAGCCACACAATATTTGTAAATTTGGCATCGATAAACAAACAAACAAACAACAAATTAAACTCCCCTCAAATTCTTTTTTCATTGCAATTCCAATCGATATTTGTCTGAACGGTGAACCGCCGTTATTGAAATTGGTCCCGAAATCAGGCCGTATATTTATTTGGTTACCGCTCGCAGACACTTGCTCATGTAAATTGCTATGAACGCACTTTCGATTGTACCATTGCGATAGCTAGACCGTATTTGATTTGGAAACATATACGGTACATCTGAGAGTATCAAACTCCACAGAGAGAGATAGAGAGAGTGACCTAAAGCTACAATCCGTGTATATCCTTTTTTCATATTATTCTTCCGACTTTTTCCTCTTCATCAATTCTTCATATTCGGAAAACGGAAATTACGCATCCAAAATAAAGTAAATGATAATTTTCTGGCTCAATTTCCATAAAGCTTTTCGGCATACATAAGTATGTGTATTTGTATATTTATGTACTGAAACAGGTGAGTTTGTTTTTCTTACCTGTGATTGTCATTAATCTGTGATGTCGTAAAGCATTGTTTCTTAATGGCGGTTTTCAATCAGAAAATTTCTTTCCATACATCAGTAGCACTCGCTTTGATATGAGGCGGCGAGCACGTCGCTTTGCATGGTGGAACGGCAAGTGAACCAAAAAAAAAATATTCGGAAAAATGTACGCATTCACTGATAATAAGCTTCCACACACCGGATGGATCGCGTATTCATGGAAAATCCCTTGGGACGCATATGCTGAAACGACGCGTACCATATATACACACAGAGGAAAAAAGACACAACGCACCCATCCCATATTTGACTTATTCATTTACTTTAAAGCGAACGGCAACGGAATGGTTAAAATTAAGAGCAGATACAATGTATCTTCTCCCTCTCTCTATGTGGGCACGGTGGCAAGGGAACAGCCAAGCGAATATAAATCCATCCAGAAAAAAACGACAAAACTTTAGTGCAAAGGGTTCAATTGATGTCCCACGGAATGAAAAGCTTTATCCTGGCGGTTTTAGCAAAAAAAAAAATGAAATGTATAATCCAGATCATGAATTGTGTGTACTTTATCGACAATGTATTTAAAATGTTCAATCATTTCAAGGCGATTAATTTTCTATCAAAACTAATCCAAAGACAGATAAGGACTGCAATAACGGTGTTTGCTTGTGCTAAAGATTTTTCGAATACGAAACGCATTTGGCTCGTAATCTGTATAAGCACATGGCGGGTCCCTAGTATACATGTACGCACCATCAAACGGCGAACACAATGTGCGATGAGAGGCGCATCGAGTACACACAACAACGTGAATTGAGTGTGTACCGAAAATATATTCTCCATTCGTGGTGTTCGATGAACATGAACACTGAACATGTATATATATTCTGATGCTTTATGTGACTTACTTTCTCTGAGTCTCGGTTCTCGGTGCCGTGTGTTGACAGAGACAGAGAGACATGAAGAGTGAGTGTAAGAGTGTGAGAGTGTGAGCGAGAGAGCGCCGAGTCCGTGTGCCATTTTATCAAATGACCAAACCGACGTACGTCACGTAACATCAAGATAATAGCATTCGGCGCGCACGTTTCCTCAGTATGTACAAAAATCTTATACCCACAATATACACATTACACTCAGATGTGTTTCAGTTTAGTTTGTGCACTTGATCCGATAGCATCGTTTCGTGGGGGCACAATCATTTTTCGATTGGTTATTCGGTGTTTTTGGCGAAGACGAACGGTTTTCCGCGCAATCGTATCATTTTTAATTTTTTTGTTTTCGTTTTTGTTTTGTTTGTTTCCGTTTCCAAAGAAAGTTGGGAGTTGAAAACGTTGAATTTCGCTTTCTTTTCTTGATTTGATCGGTGCAATCTCGGCAATCTGTAAATATCCGAACCTCAGCAGAAAATAACCGATTTTGAAAACTTAAAATTTCCATAGAATTTTTTTTTTTGGTGAAAAAAAAAAACGTGATGCACGAAAGTGGCCAATTAGAGTACCTTTAAATTGTAGTTAAGTTTTTTTTTTATGTTCGTGATATATAACGAAATCAGCTGCTGTACAAAAATCAGCAAATATTTTTCCACACAAGCCGACTCCACTTGTTTATGATCACACAAGAAAAACGTTCACAATTTGAGAAGACCATCAAAGGAGAGAGAGAGAAAAAGCGAACACTTGTTCAATTAAATTTGCGGACAAGAGTTGATTTTCCTCCTCTCGATCTGCCGCTACACATAGTCATAGAACTATTGAAGTATATATAGCACGCAAATACAAAAACACCGATGGGTAAATGCTTATCAATTTCCCCCTAGTTAAATTTTTATTTCGATTGTGTTTTTGTTTTTACTCTGTCTCTTCTCCCATAATTTCGAGATAACGTGCATGCAAAATTTGTGTATTATACAAAACTAAAACTAATTAAATGACTGACCAATTTGCATCAAACGTGAGGTTCCCAGCGTTTGAGATGAGAGAAAGGGAGAGAAAGAACAGAAACACACTCACAATCGAATAACAACATGAATTCACTGATAACTGAACATTTCAAAGACACACTCAGCTCGCTCAACATGAAAGAAATAAAGCGGTGTAGAAACGGCGGGTGTAAATATTCATTTCAGCTTTCAGCTATATGTCTTGAATTCATATAAATTGCAAAAAAAGAAGCGAATAAAAAATACGCGATAAATTGAGATGAAGTGAGAGAGAGAGAGAGAGAGAAGAAAAATAGAAAATGTAAACGTCTAAGCATTAATTGACATCAAGCGATTCTCCATACACACTCCACAAGCACATGAAAATTAACTCACTTGTTTCTTATCACGCGTACTGCTCACTGTCCACCATTTAAATAAATAAATGTAGCGAGAACAACTAGTTGAGTCGAAGTAATGGATTTTTTGTTGCCGTTGTGTGATAGTTGTACGAATTATACGTTTATAGGTTTCGGGAAATTAAAACAAACGAAAACAGTAAACGTCATCACGGCGACTACTCAGCAAGTGATCGAGACGGAGAAAAGTGCTTGCAAAACATTGTATTATTTACAAAATTGATAGTGAAAAGATCGGGTACGGAGAAAGAGCGAGAGATAGAGAGAGAAAGGGAGAAACAAAACACAACGAGTTGGAATTCAAATAAGTATTTTAAGAACGTATTCGATTGTCATCTAATTTATGTGATTTACTTCGTTTCAATTTCTCTCTTCTGCTATCTACCCTCTTCTTTTTATTTTCATTAGAATAATGGTTTAATGCAACTTCATATTTCATTTAATTGAAGCGCATGAACTGTCTCTGTTTACCGCCGCCATCGTTGCAATCGTCGCCGCTAATGTTACTAGTCCCACAACAGAAAATAAAGCTATCAAAACACTATTGGGAATAAATAAATGGAAGGGAAACAAGAGAATAGGAGAGAGAGAGAGAGAGAAAGAGAAAGAGAAAGCAACTGCAGAAAATTGAAATTAGAATTGACATTCACATTGAGCCAAGAGGCTATTTGCCATATATATAAAATTCTCTTAGTAGTAATTTAATCGAGCGCAAAAGCGTGATAAATATTTCTCGAGAAAATAGAAAAGCAATACGTAACAAATGTTATCAGCGTGTTTACTTTAAAAGAATAAACGAAAAAAAAAAAGAAATTTGTTCAACACCCGTTTGTCTGCGATGCGATGATACCATTTTCCATTCCACTAACGCTCTCACTTTGAGGTGTATGGTTTTGTATGTTCGCACTGCATTTTATTTGAATTAGTGTGTAAATGTGGCGCGCACACGTTGACGTTGCCAATAATTCTAAGCTCTGATGGAAAAAGAAGCAAGAAAACTGCAAGAACAACAGTTCGACGTATGCACAAATGGACGGTGAAGTTTAGTCTTTTCACAATTTCGACGTATATATTCGCTTCGGATTGTAAACGGAAATGAGATTTGATTAGGTAACAGAATAAAAAGTTCAAAAAAGTTAAAAATAAGGAGGGAGCCTTCTGTTTCTTTCATTTTTTCAATTAATTCATTTGATAATTTGTTTTTAATTTTTTTCCAACCAAGACCCATTGCAGCGATACAAACTTCAGTGTCTTGTGAAAAAATATTGTCCTAAACGGACTTTCAACACCAATGATCTGATTATCTAAATGAAATGTTCGTGCACACGGTGCAGCTCAAGTGCAAAAGTGTAGATTTTATTCCCCTTTCGTTTCCATCGCTTGCAATTCACATCGTGTTTACGCCACAGTTGTTCAACAGCTTAATTTATCTTCGTTTTTCCAATGTAATCGAAAGCACAATAGGTATGAGGAGTTCTCTTAATGCTTTTTCCGGTTTAACCATTGCATTGGCTACACAGACCTGTATCATCAGTTTTTTTTTTTTGCTTGTTTGTTGTCATTATTGTTGCTACTTTTGTTGAAAGCATTGGCGTTATTGTACCTGTAACGCACCTCTTACAGACGCACAACTTAAAGCATCCATGGTTTTCGCTCTTATGTATTGCCTTTGTGTTTGCAAAATTGTATTTCAACACAAATAAGTGAAACGAAGAAAGGATAAAAAGGACGAAATGACCTTATACATTTATACTTGTTACTATTTTCAATCTCAAGTTGATGGTTTTCCGCACGGTTTACGCCACTTTGACTGTTTTCTATACTACACCATGAAAGTCATACTGTAATCGCCACTACGTGTGCATGTTATTTTCAAACATTGGATCGCGTCCATTTTTTGCCTATCTCTTTTTTTTTGTTCGCATTTTGTGGTTGGTACTTGTTGTTGTTATCGTTGTTGAGAAAACGTCCAATTGATTAAAATACACATAACAACAGGATGGCAAGCTCGAACAGTTGAAAGCGTTCAAATTGTCTGTATGAAGGAAGAAAATTCCAATGAAAAATAAAATATAACTAATATTAATTAAATTTCTCAACCATCTCGCAAAAGTACCGTATTATAGTTTTACGTTATTCGTTAACAACAACAGAGAGCAATAGAAGCAGAATAGAAGCGTTCAATCAGTTTATCTGTGGCTTTACATACAACACCAAGATTGGATCCATTAGATAAGATAGCGAACGGCTGGAATATGTATTCGCTATTTGAATTTGAACACGATATGAAACGATAGTGAATTTCGATCACAAATGATTGCGTTGCAAGCTAAATTCCGAAATTGAGCGATTTCGTTTATTCATTTTAAACGATATTCCAGTGTTGATTTGTCTTTCATTTTCAATCCAGCTTGACTAGAAAGCTTTGTTTGTGAATCACTTAATAAAAAAGCACAATACAATCAATACAATAGATCTGAAATGAAATTAATTTTTTTAACGTAAAAAAATGGAGGTGGAGGACATAACTTTTTACTTTATTTATTATTACTAATATCGACGACGCGTTAATATAGTCAACATTCTTAACGGAAATGATTTTTTGATTACATCAACACCCGAAAGCGAGACCGTGCTCCTCACAAATCATTTATCTCAAGGCGAAAATCATATTAGAAGCTCATTTAATTAAATAGCGTTCAGGCTACAAATAATTTCATATCCGAATTTTGAATATGATAACATTTTCCAAAAATGATGGGGAAAAACATCGTTTGTTAAGCTCGCCGGAAAATTTCGGTGATTCGCAACTGGCACATTATTTCTAGCCGGACCAAAATTTCGGGGCCGGCTATATCATTATATCGGCAAATTCTAATGAATCTTTTGTGAATGTCATTAAAAGCTCCGATGTTGATGATCGCACATGGGAGAAAAATCTAAAGAAAACATACCGTCAAATTCGAATCGATGTTTGGTAAAAATTAACCAAAACGAATATTAGGGTGGTTCAAACCGATTTATCATAGTGAGGTCTGTGCTCCCAATAGCTTAAAATTAAATTGGGTTCAAAACTAGCTGAATCCCTGGCTGAAATTAAGTTATTGGGCGCATAGACTTTACTTTGATAAATCGGTTTGGACCACCCTAATAAATATTTACCGCAGTTAAAATCTCATGACAAAATATTATGAGAAATTTTAAATTGAGTGACAAAAGATGCTTAGCATTAATATGCTGTATGAAGAATTCGTTTGGATCCTTTGAACGTTTCGTTCAATTTTTGTTTTGTGTTGGTTGTGTAAGCATGGTCATTGATTTTGTAGAAAAGACTTGATTTCATTATGAGCATTAAAAGCAGCGCTTAATTTGTTTGTGTCGGCTCGAGAATGGATGCGTCGTCATCGTCATCGCTGCCGTTGGTTGTTGCTTCTTCAATATTTTGGTTTGGAACGGAACGACATTGTTCTTGGTTTTGTTGTTCATTATGTCGATAGAAGAAGTAATCTGCAAAGTGTACCATAGTGATTGATAGACTTTGATTGCAATTAAATTCAGCTAAGGATGAACTCACAATCGCTTCTGTGTGGCTCATATTGGATTTGAGTTGATCCCATCGCTTTGCGTTTCAATCTCACAACTCACATAAAGACACACTGGAAATGATCAACATGAAAGCGAAGGAGAAAAAAAACACAGCTTCTGAACAATAGCAAAATGAAAGTGAAAACATAAAAATAAATTACGATCTACGAAAAAAAAAAATACAATAAACTTTCAAATGTAGCTAAGTTTTGATTGAACGTACGATTTTCAATACTTACATCACATTTGGAAAAAAGAGCGGAGAAAATGACAAATAAAAGCAATTCATTCATTTTGGACAATATTTCCATTCTCTCTGAGTTCCATCACATGGAATGATACGTGTGACGGCATATTTTCACACGGAACTTCGTTTCCAGTGCGCCGAGCACTAGCTACATGTAATAACGTGTGGTTTCTAATATTCAGATACGTTCGCTCTGTATATAGCAAGTGCACGGCGCACTGGGAACAAAGTCCCGTGTGAAAATATGCCGTCACACGTATCATTCCATGTGATGAAACTCAGATAGTTGTATTGTGCACAGCGGATCGTTGACAAAATTGAATTGAAAGGAATTGAGCCGGCAATCAGATTCAGTGCGAATGAAAAAAAGACAAAACAAAAGGAAACACAGTCAGCATCAATAAGATATACTATCTTCGAACCAATATGACAGAACAAATGTCGGCGTATCTATAAAGCAATATCAAGCGGGTTGTAAACACACATATTTTCATTTCATTATATGGAAATAAATGACACAACCCGATATCAATGTGAAATAATCCACATTTTTCAATGCCATTTTGCGAGCGAGTGAGAGAGATAGAGGGGGAAGAGGGAGCATAGCAACAGCTAAGAGTG